CATGATCAAATATAAGTAAGATACTATTTTATTGGAATAGGAAAATCTAGAGATTTAATATATATAAGGTAAGATAATTAAATCAATCAAAATTAATTTTATTTTACAGATTTTCAGACCAAATCATTTAATAAAAATCATATATTGTATTGCAAAAATCCAAAAATCATATAATAATTTTTGGTTTATTAAAATAATTAATTTAGGAAATTCTTTAATACCATAAAAACCAAAATATATTTATAAAAATCAAATTTTTATATATTATAAATATCCAAAATTATAATTATATAATTCTTTAATTTTTGTAATTAATTTAAATGGATTATTAATTTTATCCAAATCCAAAATAATAATTAAGCTTGAAAATAGACTTGGCGCCAAAATCCGAATACCTTTTTGGTCCAAAAATTAAAATTACTAATTAATTTACCAAAATGCTATTTTTAAGAAATACTGTGATAAATAATTAATTAAGTAATTGAAAAATAGTTATAAAAAATACGGGTTGGGGTTACATGCCCTTCTCCCCCTAAACCACTATCCCCTACCCTTACCACCTTTCACCCAACCCTGAAACCTAGCGGCTAGGGTATTCGAGGATAGGAGGAAGGGTGGTTGGGGGTTTCAGGGGTAGGGGAGGGTTTTTCAATGTGTTATGCGGGGAAGGGGGCCGGAGAGGGGTGTCGAGGTGGGACAATGGTGAGTGCGAGGCCACCGCAGCGGGTGTGGCGTGGAGTCCTGGAATGGATGGGTGGTCTAGGCTAGTTGGTATGGGGTTTCTTGTAAGGATTTCGAGCGAGAAGGAAGGGGAATTTGGGGTAGGGTACAGTATACTAATTCAGGGGAAAAGGGGTGGCACGACCGACACCAAGAGGGGCGGCGTCGGCGCGGGTGAGTTTTACGCGCCGACGAGGGTAGGGGACAGGTTGGATTTGGGACGGGGAAGGGTAGTTGGGATGGGGTAATGGTTTTTTTTTTTTTACATAATTTTTTAAAGTTTATATTAATTAATTAAATACCTAATTTAAATTTGAATCAATTAAAAGCTGTTAGATGGCATAATTAACCTTAATGTCTTGTTTATTATTAAGGGCATGCATTAAGTGACAATTTCGGGAAACTCATGGGTACATGCGTGGTGAGTATGAAAATTTTGATGGGCATATGGTGAATTATATCAAGTGATTGATAACTCATGGATATTTTGTGAAAAAATCGCATTGGTTATCCCTCTTTAATAGGTTGAGTACATTTAAACAACAATTTTTTGGTGCAGCAGACCACACCATGCGGTAGGGGTTACTTGAGTTTTTTAGTCATGGTTACTTTAATTTTTCATTCAGGGGTTACTTGAGTTACTCATTCAAGGGTTACTTGAGTTTTTCAGTCAGGGTTACTTGAATTACACGGTCAGGAGATACTGGAGTTACTTGATCAGGGGTTACTTGAGGGGTTCACTCAGTTAAGGGTTGTTCAATCAGGAGTTACTCGGGTTTCTTAGTCAGGGGTTTCTCGAGTTTCTCGGTCAGACCGCATTCAAAAAATTGTGACTCAAATAGTAACCCTGACCGAGAAACTCGAGTAATCCCTGACAACTCGAGTAACCCCGAACCGAAAAATTCGAGTAACCTCTGACCGAGAAACTTAAGTAACCCCAAAAAATCGAGTAACTTCTGACCGAGAGAATCGATCAAGTAATCCCGGAAACTCGAGTAACCCCTGACCGAGAAACTCAAGTAACCCCTGACCGAGAAACTCAAGTAACCCCAGAAAACTCAAGTAACCCTGAAAATTCAAGTAACCCCTGACCAAGAAACTCAAGTAACCCCTGCCGCACGGTACAACAGTCCGCATATAAAAATTTGTGCATTTTAAATGTTAATTCAAGATGGAAATGTTAACACTAAATTAAATGATATGCTTAATTAAACATATTTCTTATTATGTCGAATCACCGAATTACATTAATCGTAACTCTTTGACACTAACCTGTTTTTCATATTCGGTTCCCGTTATATTGTCATTTCGGATATACACGTACTAAATTATGTATTGTACATCCTATACTAAATTATTTACAGTGGCGGAGCCACAGTGTGTCTTGTAGGGCACGTGCCCTGTCAGGTTTTTTTTTTTTTTTTTTTTTTTAAATGTTTGTAAAATTTGTTTAAATAGAATATAAAGTGCATCATTATGGTACAACTTACTAGTAGCCTAGTGGCTAGAGCTTTACCTTTTCAATCAAAGGTCATGGGTTCTAATTAGAGTTGTCAAAAGATGACCCGACCCAAGATACCAACCCCAACCCGACCTATTAACCGACCCACTTGAACCCGAAAAAAATGGTGACCCGAACCCGACCTAACCCGACTTGAAACCAACCCTAGACCCGAGTTGACCTTAGTATTTGAGACCCGAACCCGAACATTAACCGACCTAAAGACAACCCGAATGTAACCCGTAAATTATTGACCTGAACCGAACCCGACCTGAACCGAAATTGACCAACACCCGTTTTAACCCGTCATAACCCGAATTCAACCCGACCTGTTCCTAACCCGACCCGAATTTAACCCGACCTGCTACAAACCCGACTCAAATTTCAACGCGACCTGTTACAAAACTGACCCGAATCAACCCGACTTCTTATTGACCCGACCCAAATTCAACCCAACTTTATTAAATCAATATGTATATGTCGTTATCTCATGTTGGTATTGGAACGGAAATTGAATCCTAACTCTATTCCTTCAATATTTCACTTTGAATTTTAAGAGGTTAGTTTCACAACATGTTTTTAGGGATGAATTTCAAGGAAGAAACATGTTTTCCGTAAATTATTGACTTGAACCGAACCCGAGAATGACCCGACTGATTATAACCCACAAATTATTGACTTGAACCGAACCCGACTTGAACCCGAAAATGACCCGACCTGATTATAACCCGCAAATAATTGACTTGAACCGAACCCGACTCGAACCCGAGAACGACTCTAACTTGTTTAAACCCGTAAAGACCCGAATTTAACCCGACCTGAATGTAACCCGACCTTTTACTAACCCGACCTAAACCAGACCCAAACCCGATAAGATTTATGATCCGATGTGACCTGATTCAAGCATGACCCAACCCGACCCGACTCGCATATGTTATGACATTAACCCGTATTGACTCGACCCGAGATGACCCAACTCACACTATCCCGACTCAAACCCGACCCGTTTACCCGAATTGACAGCTCTAGTTCTAATCTCTTGTCCAACATTTTGTTATTTTTTTTCCCTCTCATTATTGTTTATTCTTCTTAATGTCCCCCCCCCTTTTTTTTCCCTTTTCTCTTAATGTCCTATTTATCCAATTTCCTAAATAACACAAAAACTTACCAACATAAAAGTTTGATCACATTGGGCAAGATTACTTTTCTACCTAAGATAATGAAATTGATGATGTAATAATATGCTTTCAAAACTTGAAAATTAGTCAAGTTTAATTTTAACATTTCTTTTTACATGTATGAGTATACTTGAATTATTAGTTATAAATCCTAATAATTAGTATTTTGGATAAACCTATTTGATACGAAAGATCTATCTTATTCCAAACCTATTATAAAAGATCTAAGAAAATATGAGCGAGGTTATTTTAAAGCCTTGACATGAATAGGGGAACAATTTGATGTATTTTTGAATAATAAAGGTTTGACAAATAAGATTGCTAAGTAATTTTGAGTCTTGGTATTATGAACCTTCTTCAATAAAAGGATTTTAGATGATACGGTACCCTATCATTGTAAAAATCCTGACTTCGTCACTGATTATGTAGTGCACATCCTAACATCCCGCCTTATAAAATGAGTAATTTCCATTTGTATGGTCAGCGGCTTGGATGAGGCTTTGAGGCATATAGGTTTATTTTATCTAATCATATGCAAATGCAACTTATCAAATTTATCTTAGGTACATTAGTTTTGTAATCCAAACTTTATATCCGGTTTTGTTTTGGACGTCAGAGATCGGTCCTCAAAGCTGTGTACACTTCCTAAAAAGGGAAAAGAAAGCTATTCAAAGTGAGATTATAAATTAAAGAAGGATAAAATATGGATAACATGAGATGCAAATTAATTATTTTTACATCACCAAACATATCCACTATATCCAAGATCATTCAGTTCATTTAGACACCAAATTATATGCAAATATATTCTTTGGAAATTATCCTTCTAGCTTGCCCATGCTTGCTCACGCTTGACCAACTTCAATAATCGTATATATAATGAAAGTGTAACCATTACTTATATTACATAGTCATGGGAATAATTTGGTTTTATGCGGAAATTAGAAGCTTATTAATTTGTAGTGGCTTATTATATACTACGTATATATTCAAGAAATAGAGCCTTTTTCAAAGAACAATTTCCATAGTTTTGGAATGTGAAGATTTGAATAAAAATAGAAGATGTGGCCTAATTATTTGATATCCTTGTCAAGTTGTCATCCTTTTTCAATATGAATACATTTATTACCTTTGTGGTCAAGTTATAAATTTATAATTGTTGATTGATATAATGATTCTTATTGCAACGCATGGTTTTTATCATGAGGGAAAGGTGGTAAAAATAAATGAGATGGAGAAGGAAGCTATAGGAGAAGAAATAGGAGATTAATATACACTTTAAAAATAAGTTATGTTCACCTTATTTTCACTTATTTCAAACTTTATAAGTTGATAAATTCAGGAAAAATAAGTTTTAAATAAGGGTTGATGATGGTCACCAAAGTTCAAATTACAATTAAAATAAGTTTTAATGAATTAAAATAAGATAAGATAAGTTCATATTAGTAAAAATTAGGTAAATAAAACACACCCTATATATATCTTCATGTTCAACATGATTCTTTTTTTGTTTATGTTCTCTTCTTTTCCTATCTTATTGCACGATCAAAATAATTAATTTTAGTGCCACGTCTCATGTCACATTTTTTTTAAGGAAGGCATAAGGGCAAGTGATGAAAATCAATCCTAAGATCACCCACAATCGGAGGGGCGCTCTACCTAATATAGGAACATGAGCGAAGGACACGAATTTCAAGAATAGGAGAGATATAGAGGAGAAGAAAAAATATATAAACTAGGGGTGAAAGTAATTTAGTTTAAAATCTAATTGAACCGAATTATTAATTTGTTTTTTTTTTTAAATTTTTTTTAATGGTTCGATTTGGGAAACTTTAAAAATATGGTTTATGATTTGTTTGGGTTAAAAAAAAAAAGAACCGAAATATAACCGAATTATATACAAAAGCCCAAATATTAAGCCCTGATATTTGATAAAAGACAAAGTTATATAAGAAAGTTTGTACTCCGTAATGACAAAGAGCCCTAGTTAAGAGACATAATGAGTTTTACTCATTACTGTCAAAGTTAGAAGTAACAGACAAGAACTAATTCGATTTTAAGATGTTTGTCATAGAAAATCGACGTTAGGCGGGATGCCATACAAATAACAAAATGATAACATCAACAAAAGGAATAGAAGAGTGTAAGTTGGGGATGAATTTGTAGGTGTGGCTCCATCATAATCATCGCTGTAATCATAATCATCTGAGTCTAATCCTGTTTTGTCACCTGGTCCAGCACTCCACTTTCCTAGATTGTGTCTACTGCATTGATTAAACACAACATATTTATTACAGTACATGACACGAGACAATACGAAACGACATAAAATGCAATTAAAAAGAGCTTTAAACAAAATAAGAAAAAAAAAATTCTAAAATTTATGTAATGTTTAACAAAATTGTGTATCAATAAATTTTAATGTTATTAACATATCCACATCTTTTATGTTGGCTACAATTAAATTTTGTTTTTGGACTTATAAATTTCCTACTTCGTATAAGTATCCTCTATAGGTTAAAGTACAATAAATAAAGTTAAAAAGTGAGGATATAATGATCTTTATATACTCTTAAAACATGGAAATAGGAATAACATTTTAATTCTCCAAAATAGAAAAACAGGAACTATACTGTATCATGAGACGGAAAGAATAGTAAATTAAAAGTCAATTTTAATCACGAAAATAATATTTTAATCACTAAAATAATATTAATAATATACCAAGAGAAAGATGCTTAAAAAGAAAAAGAAAAGGAAAGATGATAAACCTGTCACCAAGAACGCCAGCATGCATGACAAGTTGGTCAATGAAGGCAGAAGATTTGGGCTCCACACTGTAAGCTTTCTCATATTGGACTTCAAGAGCCGCTCCTGACGCCACAAAATATGCACCGTTAACCATTTCGTCTCCTTCTGATCTCCAATTCCACCCCTTCCAATCTTTCTCGTCTGTTCCTACTCTCTTTGTTACCTGCATCCATTTTTCCAATTTATCCCCACATCATTATACTATCGTGTTAGAATGTACTCGTGTAAATGCACGTAATATTGTATTGTGCACAATGATATAGAATTTCCTATAACATGTTTTTCTATGATGGAAAATCGACTTTGATGTAACATTATAATGAAGATATGTGACTTTGATGTAACATTATAATGAAGATATGTTGTTTTTCAATTATGTATTGATCAATTGATGTGTGATTATTGGATTAAGGCAGTTATTGGTTTTTTTTTTTGGAGGAATTAATAAGATACACAAGTATAGCTTTTGATTTATAAATTGATTTTGGAGAAATGACTTAGAAGTACTTGATTGGGTTTTTGTCCTTTTTGTTCACTTTACTCTGTTGTTGGTAAAACAAACACTCTTATTATATACCGCTTTGTATAAGTTTACTCTATTTTTATACTTCGTATTTAGTAAGGTTTACCTCATTTACAATGGCAAAACTAATATATCGATTATATATATATATATATATACTAAAAAAAAAAACATTATCAATAAAGTAGTTTTCATTAGAATACAATCGTTTGCAAGATTTTAGATTACTGACAATTACAAAATAATTACTTAATTACTTTATATAGTTTACATTTTTTCTCTAGTTTCCCCTTATTATTGGTCTTTTCATGACATAGGCTAAACATAACTGACAAGTTCAACTTATATTGTAACCGAGAAAGAAGGGAAATTTATGTATTTTATGATTAGTTTGTAAAATATTTAATTTTTTTTATTTTTTGTAAAATATTTAATTAAAGTTAAACATGCATGCAAATAGTTCACTAGCTAGCTAGCCAAGTGATAAAATAATTTTAGATCAATGGAAGTGCTAATGCATGTTCACACAATCACACTCCCGGACTCCCCTTTACTCATACGTAGGAGGTAGGACAACAACAAAGTTCATCAATGTTATTGGAAAAAATGGTATCCAACGATAATTTAGGTCCTACTATCAGATACGGGACCTTCAATTTCAAACAAAGTCAAAAACAAATGACTTTTAATCATATCGTGGGACCCACGTCGAAGTTAGTTATCATTTTACATATTGGCAAACTTCATAATTTAAAATTTAATACCTCTTCCATTATCTTAAAACCTACCGTATTTACTTTTTGTTTTCATCTGTTATCATTTTTTTTCAATTTTTTTTTTTAATCACTTTTACCCTATTCCTTTTATAATAAGCTTTTAATCACCTTGTGCATTCTAACTTTTATTTAAAAATATTTTACTCTAGCTCTATTTCTCTCCTATTAATACAAAAGTGTTCACATATGTGGGCTCTATTTTCACTTTTCTTGATTTACATATCAACAATAGTTTGAGTAAAATTCAAGAAAACAGAGCAAGTGCTTTTTTTCCATAATTTTTTGTTTAAATTAAACAAATTCACCTCGCCTTCAAACTTAGTTGTCATGCACATAGTTTCAATTACACTTTTACATGATCAATGAATATTATTATAGTATTTAACATAGAGAACCTTTTACTTTGGTACTTGTATATAATTCAAGCCACAAACAACGAAGAAATATGTTAAATCAAAATAGATACGTGGTCTACGACTTTAAGGCCCTGTTTGGTTTGACGTAAAAGGTTTTCATGGAAAATTTCATGGAAAGTGAATTTTCCATTTTTTCCCATTTTCCTTTGTTTGGTTTGTTAAGGAGTGGAAAACAATTTTTCAAGGGTGGAAAATTCCATCCTTAATGATGAAAAACATTTTCCTTCCAAAAACAAGGGAAGCCACATTTTCCTCTCTCCTCCTTACCTCTTTTTTTACTTCCCTCTCATTCATCCTTACATTTCCACTCTTATTTTTTATTTTTCTTGGACTTTTCTTATATGTAACCAAACAAATGAAAACTAATTTGCAATTGTGTTTTTCCTTGAAAATATGTTTTCCATGAAAACTAATTTTCCATTGAAAATGTTTTACATTAAACCAAACGGGGCCTAAATGTCACCTCCGATTTTATTAGTTAAATAACATGACATCTAAAACAGTTTAATAATTAAATCAAATCAGAAATTAGCAAGATTATTGAAACGGCTTTGGTTAGAGGCTTAAAGCAAGTATTACCTCTTTGGCATAACGATCAAAAGGAGCAATGAAACGATTTCCTTGGCTATTAATGGTTGGATTTCCACTACCACCAATTGCGTACATCTCCCATTGTGTAAAATCATTATTTACAACATGTATATACCCTTTTCTACACCTTGGCATCCTCTGTACTAGCTTCGGTCCAAAATGGTTGAACGCGATTGTAACCTGTTAAATATTGATAAATCACGTAGTTATTTGTCAGTCTGTCTCATCTCACATGATAATGTTTTTTATTTTCCTTAGTGTTATATGATGTTACGTACCTGCATTCCTGTATCAGGCTCATATGTGTCACTATGGCCTAGAAGCATAACCTCATTGTGGTGGGAGAAATGGTTGTTGGACACCGTGATAGCGGTTGAGCCCATTACAATGTCGATGAGGCCATCCTTACAGTGAGACAGCGAGCAGTGGTCGATCCAAAGATCCTTAGATCCAAATATAGAGATCCCATCCCCATCGGACAAACCTCGATAACCATAATGGGTTGGGCTATCTCGGACCATGGTGTTACCAGATGGGTGGCAGTGGTGGACATGGATGTTGGTGATAATTACATTGCTAATATATTGCAAGGTTATGCATCCTCCTCCTGTTATGTGTACATCCACCCCTCTCCCATCTACTGTCTTGTAACTGTTGAAGATTAACTCCTACAACACATTAAAAAAACCAGCCTTAATCAAGTAGAAATTAAATTTTTGTACTAAAATTGTGCTTACAATGAAATTTGATAGATGAAATTGATTCAAGACTTTTGCTGACCATTTATGTCTTGTTTTATTAGAATTAAGGCTTAATTTAGCTTAAAGTTTTACCTTGTTAATTTCGGCATCTTATCAGGCTCAGCCAATTTAATATTTTGATTAATCTATCTGTCGTGGCCTAACATAGCCAAAATATTGTCATGTATTATATTCGACCATTGTCACACTTTGCAAATATGATTACTACGGAGTATTAAATTAGATTTTCTATGGTTTAAAAAAAAAAAATTGGTTTTCTAAATCAGTCTCTAATCAATTAGATTTAGAAATGGAGACAATGACAGATTAAATGATTGATACGAACTACTATAAGAAATTCTAATGAAATGATAAATTGAATTATGAAGCATACGTACGTCTTACGAAGTATTATTATATATGCATGACTGCTATGAAAAAAAGACTAATATTGGTATAACATACAAGAGTTGCATACCTGAGAAAGGTGGATAACCATATTAGAAGCGAAGATGATCCAAAGAGGTTCAGTTCGTATAACAGCATAGCGTAGTGTACCAGGCTTTGGATTAACAACATCATCGTCAGAAGGGTCAGTGACTATGTAGTACTCACCACCTTTGCCACCTAAAGCATACTGCCCAAACCCGATACCGCAATCGGCCAACCTTTGACGGTCGTTTCCCCAATTCGGGTCGCATCGCCAGCAATCGTCTATTGGATTGCCGGTGGCGCAGTTTGAAGCATCATCAAGTAAATGTCTTCTTGTTACAGAAACATTCACCAGCCTACGTAGGAAAACAATAATGTTTATTTTCGTCGTATAGATTAACTAATTAAACATGCGAAATTGTCATCAATATTCAACTTAATATATATTCCGATTGCAACTTAGCATGTTCATATTATTAATGTCAATTTTGCTTGAATAAATGTAATGACTCACTTCTTAGGCAAAAAAGGCTTTTGAGTACACTAGATAGGTGTACAAATTTTTTTGTTATTACATTTAGATTAACTTAACTTTACACCAGCTTTCAGGAAACTTTAATTCTCCTAAGTTAGGATCTGATACACTTTATCTAGAGGTATTAAAAACTGACTCGATCCGAAAATAACTTAATCCAAATTTCGTTTTATATGAACACAATAATTTAATTAACAAGACTCAGATTCCAACTAGATTCAATCAAATTTGATTTATTCGAACGAGACAAGTTATCTACATTGTCACCTCTAACAATCCATATTCAGTTATTCACATTATAATTTTATTTGTGTCCCAATAAGGGGCACTATATTGGGAGTTAGAGATTATAAATTTATAAGTTGGCCTTAACAATTATTGGAATAGGGGCCTAAATTAGCTTCACTTCCCGACTCTTTTAGTTCTCCAAGAGTACAAATGTTGTTATAAACTACGTACCAAGTTGTAGTTAAATTATTTAAATAAGTTTGAACAAAGTGAAATATGAAGCTAAAGAAAAGCCAAAATCTTAAAGAAAAAGAGGCATTTACAGATTCCAAGTGCATCCAGTTTTTCTTCCCATGTTTTGACTTTTATATACGTATTAGGCAAACATCCTACCCCACCCTCGATTATTATATAGAAATGTATGTATTAAGATATAATCACTTAGCATAATTACTCCCTATTAGTAACTTTTATTTGAAGGAACGTGACTTTTCTAATTATTAACATAGGAAATCCAATGAATAAATCATTAAAGACAAAAATCCATGTTTTCTCCTTTAGAAATGTGCAATATTCTATAGTTTATTAAAGGGGCTAGCAGTTTTAATTAACAAGTTTCAAAAGATGATATTTAATAGCTTAAATGAATCACAAATTCTTAAATGTGTTTGTTAGTGTTATAAGGGTTACTCAATCAGTGTTACAACAGTTACTTCATCAATGTTATAACAGTTTTCTATATATCAATGTTATAGGGATTAATCAGTTACTTCTTTCGTGTTTTTTTAAGTGTTACAGTTTGACCGACATATAGTTTAAGGCAATTTAATTGACTTAAATAAAATAAAAATTGACTTAAATAAAATAAGAGGTAAGTGGGGTAGTTGGAGTATTAAAATATTGTAAAAAAAATAAAAATAAATGAGTTAATAGTTTATTGAAAAGTAATGAATGTGAGAGGAAAGATATAATATAAAAAGTAGTAGTGGGTTTGGGTGGGGACCATGAGAGAAGAGAGATGTAATATTTTAATGTAGTTTTTTGCTAAAAAAAAAAATATAACACTTATTAAAACACGACCGGACTTGATAAGTGTAACACTTAAAAAAATACAGAGGGAGAAGTATTACAAGGATTACTCAGCCAGTGTTATAAGCATTATTTTACTCTTTTACAAGCGGTCCATAGTACGACCAGACACACACTTTTTTTTTTTTTTTGGCTAAACACACACATAACGAGCTGATCTTGAATTTTTTTCTTAGGCAGGAAAGGGTAATAAAGTTTAGAAAAAACTGAGAGGGTAATAAACAATTCCGTACCCGTACACCTGGATAGAAGAAGAAAGAAGAGAGGGTTGGAATGTTGTCGTATCAAAGACTGTGAAATGTAGAATTCTAAGGCTATAGCTAGTCCTCGACTCTGCTGACAAAATTAGCTTAGACATGATTTCATGATATTACACTGCTCAAAGAAACATGGAGTTGCCCATCGCCCCATGTAGGGTAGCTAAGCTCACATTCCAACCTCAAACACACTACACACTAGTAGTCTAGTACACTATTTTTTTTTTTTTTTTCTTTTTTTTTTTTTCATCATTTTTATACAATAGAATAAAATGTATGATTCATTAATCCATAATCTCATAAAGAGGTCAGTTAACACTATTCTATTATCCTAAACATAACCCAAAGCTAAAAGTTAAAGTGACATACGAAGTACGTACGTAGCAATGTAGCATTAAAATAAATATCTCAAATAAAGCAGAAAACCATATACTTGTATCTGGAATTTGTTTGCAAATTGATTAACATTATATTTTCCTCCACTTATTTATGTTTAACTTAATTATACGAGTAATATTAATCCTTGTTGGTACTAACTTTTTTTTTCCCCATGTATTCAACTTATTTTTGTTGAAATGAAGTTTTTTTTTTTTAGTTTTTCTTGAATTTTCTTAATTTTTTTTTTCTATATTTAGGCCCTTTTCATTTCACCTTATTTTTGCTAAACTAAATTTATGTTTGTTGAACTTAAATTAAGTTTATTGAACTAAAATTATTTATAGTGAACTAAAAATATTTTGAAATTATTTTTAGTGATTCTCTATTATTATTATTTTTTTATTTTTATATATATTTTTTTTTAAGTTATTGATTTTAACTGAACTAAAATTGTTGTTAATGAACTAAACTTATTTTTACTTAACTATTCCGTACAATTATTTTTACTAAATACTCTGCTTATTTTTTAGGGTGAAGTGAACCTAGTCTTAGGGCATGTTCTCATTGACTGAAATGAGCTGAACTGAATTGAATTGATCTGAACTTATTAGAGCTGAAATGAAATGAATATTTTATAAGAGAAAGAAATGAGAAGCTGAACTGAACTAAATTGAAAATAATCGTATGAGAACAGACCCTTAGTGTTTTTTTAGTTTTTTTTTTACCAATGTTCTACCGAGTAAAATTACTTTTAGATTTTGGTGAGCCATTAATAAAATGCATGAAGTTTAATATCGCATATAAACTTTAAATTGTACAGATTACTAGTCTCTCTCTCTTTCTTTTTTTTTTTTTTTTTTTTTTGGACATATGTAATCTAATCTCTTTAATTAGTAATTGGCACAACTTTTCTTTGTAAGGCTGTGCATTTTTTTAATATCTTTGTATCAAATATATACCCAAATGTATATTCTAAAAAGTTTCAATTTTCTTTTTTTAAAGAAACTTTATCTTTCTATCTATCCCCACAATTTTAGTAACTTTTTAATTTACATTGCACACTAGACATTAGACACTACTTTTAAATTTGTACAAACCAAAGTTATATGTTTTATTATAGATGGAGGTTAAAAATTATAGCTCTGATATAACATTGGTTTATATAGTACATTATTATTACAGAGTTCATTTTTATTTCAAATATCAAAATGAAAAACATATACTTGATCGTAAACTAAGGAATAAAGTAGAACACTACTAATCAGGGTATTCTTTGGTAAAGATACTAACATATAACTAACCAAGACTATCTTTTACCAACACATGAACAAAGAAATAACCAAAATACCTTAAAAATGGGATAACAATCAATATTCATAAAATGTACGTAGAATGAATACACAACAACCTTATTAAAAAAGATTAGGAAAGCAGTTTTTTATAAAAATGATAAGAAAATGCCCCTTATATGCTAAAACTACTTTTGCATATATATAGGTGGGCAATGTATCTTACGGAGTAGAATTCAACAATATAGCCAATAATAACTCGATTTATTCTTAACAAAAGATGTTATGCTCGTAAAATAATGTTGAAGAATGTCAAATGATACTCTTACCTATGAACTTCTCGGGCAACGGCTTCCGGGTCCGGGTGCTGTCCCGGAATAGTGAAGTTGTATTGGCCCAGACCTAGTGTAAATAATGAACATAGAGCCAATATTTGAACAATGTACCTTCTTTGAACCATATTTCTATTAGAAATGAACGGGCCGGGTAATCGGGTTTAATGTGAAATGTAATGGTGGATTAAGGCTACTATAGTTGAAGAAGGTACATTATTTTCTTTTTGCTATCCTCTAGTGAGGAGTGAGTGAGTGAGAGTGAGGCTACACTTTGGGAGTGTGATGTGATAATGTGCTAGGATTTATAATGATTTATAATTTGAACCTTTTTTACATAGTGAAAGAGGAATAACTGTGAAAAAAGAGAGGATTTAGAATTATGGAGGATAGTGATACTTTGACTGTTTGGTCCTCCCCCTCGATTTTGTTGATATCATGGTGAATTATCGGATTTCTTAAATAATTATCCTTTTATTATTATTATTATTATTATTATTATTATTATTATTATATGTTCTCAACATTTTTTTGTAAGTGGTGCTAAAAAATTTCAGTTTAGGATATGTTCTCATTGACTGAACTCAGCTGAGCTGAGCTAAGCTGAACTGAACTGAAACTGAACTGAACTGAATTGAACTGAACTGAATTGAACTGAATTGAGCCGAACTGAATTGAACTGAACTGAATTTCAACGTAACAGAACAGGCCCTTAGTTAAAATAATTTGAGTTTAACAAAAATAAGGTGAAATGAACAATATCTTACCCTCTCTTTTTAAACACTTTCATTTTAGTCTTCCCCCAACTATTTTTTATTTTTTCTATTCACTTTACTTTATGTACTTCCTTCATTTTTTTATTGCATCGTCTGAATCGGAAGTTTCAAATTAGTTGCATTAGTTTCCTTTTTATAAGTAATAAACTATCTCTTTCTCACTTCTATCATATGGGTCTATTTTTTTTTATTCTCTCTGTTCTCTCATCTTTAAAAATTGTCTAGAAATCCACAATTTACAAAGTGATGCAACTAAAAAAATAGAGGAAGTTTTTTTTTTGATATACACCTTAGAGTCTTAGGGTCTGTTCTCTTCAGATTATTTTCAGCTCAATTCTTAATTTCCTTCTCTCATAAAATATCCAGTTCAGTTTAGTTCAATTCAGCTCTTATAAGTTTAGTTCATTTCATCTCTAATAAGTTCAGTTCAGTTCAGTTCAGTTCAGCTCAACTTAGTTTAGTCAATCAAAACAGGCCCTTAGACTATATTATGTCTTCAGCCCCATATTCACTTTGTAATACCCTAAGATATGATTTAATACAAAGCATATAAGATATTCAAGAACAAAATAGTACTCCCTCCGTGTTTTAATAAGTATTACAGTATTACCAGCACATATTTTTAGACAATTTAATTGATTAAATAAAATAAGAGGTAAGTAGGGTAGTTGGGGTACTAAAAAATTATAAAAGAAAAATAGTAGGGAGTTTAATAAAAAAATAATGAATGTGAGATGAAAGATATTATAATAATAATAATAAAAAAGTAGTAGTAGGTTTATGTGGGGATCATAAAAGAAGAAAGATATAATATTCAAATGTAGTTTTTTGTCAAAAAGAAAGTGTAAGTGTGTAACACTTATTAAAATACGGGTCAAATTTATTTAGTGTAACACTTAATAACCCTTCCACATTCTCTTTTGTATGTTATATTATTTTCCACACCTACACACATTATTCACTAGTTATATATATTTTTAAATTCTGTATTTGAATACACGGTAGGAAAAAAATGAAGGGACTTTTACATAGGGATGGCATTAGTTTAGATATACTACCTCCGTTTTTATTTAGTTGATACGTTTTGACTTTAGCACTATTCACACACGTCTCTTTGATCGTGTTTTGTGCTTTATACGTAATGAAAAATATAGTCACGTGAGATCCTGTTCGATCCGTCATTTTGCATAATTTCAAAATATGAACTTTTTATAATTTTTACTTATCGATAATTAAATATTTTAATAATTGAATAAATGCATTGATAAACGTGATTAAAGAAACATGTCAACTAAAAAGAAACAAAGGAAGTAAGTGTTAAAGTGTATAACTACAAAATAGATTTTTTTTTTTAAAAGCTAACTACAAAATAGATCAATGAATTTAAGATAAATTAACAAGGATATTTAAAACCAAAAGGCTTTTTTTGAGAAGGTTCTTTAATGTATTTTGGTATTTTCTTCTTTAGTTTTTGGTGTTCCGAATATTATTATTTTTTTGGGTATTTGTAAGGTAACAGAATGAGATTATGTAGTATGTACTATGTAGTAAAGAAAGACAAGTGTGCCTGCTTATTGGGTGCTCATAACTGCAGCTGATGTGTCACTTTTCTGAGCTTTTTTGGCTGGGATTAGGGGGGTCTGATTGTCAACTTTTCAAACTGAAAACGGATTTTGGTCGTTCAGCTTTGTTTTCTTTTGTGTTTTTGTATTTTTTTTTTAATTTGAAAATTTGTAAAAAAATTACCTCAAAAATAGGTTGTTTTGTACTCCTTTCATTTTTAAAGACCTGCTCCAATTTTTTTTTCGGCCGTTTTTAAACACTTGTTTCATTTACTTATTTGGAAAGCTTTTACAATGTATAAATAAATTAAAGGAACAACTGCTGACATCATATTGAACATGTGGCAACTTTATAAGAAAATTTTCCCGCCTATATAAAAATGTGACATCATTATATTTTCTTTGGTTTCAAATTTCAAATTTAATTTTTCCTCCTCTCAATTTATCTATACTCTTTAATTTATTTATTTTTCTTCTATCACCCACTATTGGTATCTAATACATCTTTACCTTATACTTCATCAAACAAAATACTTTGATGTACATATTTTTTTTTCTATTTTTCTTTAAATATTACAAGTTTAAAATAATTTTTTATTTGCTTAATTAAAATCGTATATTAAAAATCTAACTTTTATGTATATGCTTAAATTTTCACATTCGGTTTGTTCTTCTTCAAAATTAATTTTATAAAAGTAGCATTTACAGCTAATGGTTATGTCTCAATAATTTTTCTAATACGTAAGAATACAAAAATATATACTCTATATTTCAAAGAAATCTGTGTATTGCACGGAACTCATCTAGTATTTAATTAATTTCTCTCACCAAATGAACTCAATAATATTAATCCCTATTCTCTCTCCTTCAATTCTCAACACTACTTTTAGTTTTTTACAATTTTTTTGTTCTTCCACCAACCGCATTATCTCCATATTTTATTATTTTCTCCAATTTCTCCTATTTTAAAAAATTTGTGAACAATTACCCATAAGATGACAAAAGTTTTTCTAGCACTTCCCATTAACTAATTCCGTTCAATTGTGTTGTTTGTGGGACCCACTCCTACGGTTTCTCCTCCAATTAACTCCATCCCTAAGTGTTTTTTTTCTCTTTTATTTACTTTTCCTCTATTTTTACTTCTCTTATTAGACTTTACAGCTTTCACCCTCTTTTGAGAATATAGGGTATGAAGGTAGGATTGTTTTCATAAGTCGAAAAGGTGATATTGTTTTGAAAAAATGAGACAAAGATGGTGTTTTGGGTGTTTTTATCCCTTAGGAGAGTTACGTCACAAAGATTGGCCTGGTTGAGTTGTACCTGCAAAAGCAACGGAGACTCCGGGTTGTTGGAGCTCCACCTCCGAAGATCAAGTTAGTAACTTGAAAAGAGATAAATGGACGGAAAATTAAATGGGATCTTCTCGGACACCGAGATCAAGTTTTCTCTGATGAGAGAGAAAGTAAGTATAATAAATGACTGAATGTGTAACCAAAATGGGGGAATATCTCCCTATTTATAGGGTCATTGATGTGCCCCTCTCTAGGTCACCCTGACCTAGATTTTATGGGTTGCGCCGCAAAGTGCGGATTTCTCGGGAATTGGGCCCTTGAAGGCCGCAACTCTGATTATTCTCTGAGGTTGCCATGTGTCAGCTGGTGAGTGGCCTATGGTGGCCTGCCAGAGCTTGACACGTGGGCCTCTCTCATTGGTCCACATGTCTAGGGTATTTTTACCCTAAACATTTGCCCCTCATAGGGGTGACGTGGCGGGCCACGTGACGCCTGTGACACGCGTCCCCCTGTGAGTGGTGAACAGTAATTACGTCTATTCACCTTCTGGGGTGTGACGGGGATACCTCCGTTTCACTCCTCTATAAATAGAGTTTTACCCCCCTTCCTCCTCTCACTATTTCAATCATTTTGATTTTCTAGAGAGAGAAAGAGAGATTCTTAGAGATAGATACTCTGATTCGTCTGCATCAGATTTTTCAAGATTTCCGAGTGCTCAATTACAATACCCGGTCAACGTCTATTGTAGTTTTCAGAAAATTCATAATCAAAGTAAGGTAACCGCCTGTACCCTCTTTCAACTTTTTCTTCTTTTTTTATCTGTATACATTCTTGTTCCGTTTGTATACACAGTCTTTAAAAATAAAAATGAACTCTCAATCCACACACTCGGCACTGCCTTGGACATTCAGCCGGTCTCCCGGTACGGCTGAATCTAGAACAGGGGTGCTTTTCTGGACTTTCAGAACTGCTGTGCTCATCCTCGAATTCCTCCCTCTCTATGTCTGTGCAGGACATAATGGCTAGAGTTAAGAAAACGACTATTAAGCTAAGAATTCGGCACGCTAGGGAAGTGCCCGCGGATGAGGTTGTTCCGGATGGGGAACAAGAGGAATTCGAGGAGAGGAGTGGTTCCAAGGATGAGGCTCCCTCATCCTCAGATAGTTCAAGCGTGAGGGAGGTAGGCGGTGAAGAGGCTGCCTCCTCTCACGGATCAGGGGAGGAGGCAGGCGACAACGATTCCGCCGAAATTCGGGGGCCGAAGCATCTGGCTCCAATCTAGACGATTTTGCGGCTGACTACCAGCAGCCGGCTAAGACCTCTGCTAACCCTGACCCGAAGAAGATAAGGATGCTTCCAGGTGATACATCCTTGTTGAAGGGTGGCTTCAAGGCTTCAAGGAAAAACACCCCTTTGATATTGTCTCGCCTAGGGATGCAGTCATGGCCAGGGAGAATGACATTGAAAATGCAGACAACTACTTCGTTTGCTTTGAGGCGGTAATAGAAGCCAGCCTCCGGTTCCCCTTCCATACTAGAATAAGGAAAATCCTCAAGGGATACGATCTGGGCGTCTGGCAGCTCACTCCAAACTCGTGGGTGAATATATTGAGTTATATTGCCGCCTGCGAGCTCCAGAATATAGACCCCAACTTTTCTGCCTTTGCTCATATGCATTATCTTAGCAAGGCCCCAGGCGGTCATGGGGCGTGGTATACTCTCACCACCTTGCCGTAATACCAAATGACTTTGGACAAGGT